CCATTATCTTGTTTTTTGAGCCAACCCATTTTAATGTTTTATTTTTTTTTTCCTTTCATTTGGATCTACTTTTTCTCTTGAACATTCACGCTACATTTTATTTACAAATTACAATACATTGATAGCAGCATTGCAATATTTGTCAATGGTTGCCATATGCGGAAAAAACTTACCCTTTCTCCAAGCACCTTTTGGCTTTTTATCTTGACAAAAAGGGTGCTTTGTAACATTCAGAACAAATATACTGTAATGCATAAGTGTAATAAGATTAAATTGAAAATGAAGGAAGCAAAATTGTTGTAGCATACTTGAGTAATCTCCAGATAAATGTTAAATGCTATGACAGATATTATGTTTGTATAAATAACGAACTATGTTGCTTACCCACCAAAAATATATGGAAAATATATTGGCCAACGCCAGCAAGTTTTAGCCAATCATTGGGAAACAAATTCCATGAAATTGCTGTTTCGGTTCACAAGGGGAATAAATGCTTGATTGAGTGCCATGTGGGAATGTCATATTATCTGTCAAACTGATCAACGTCCCTTGCATTATACAAACTTATGGCAAATGTTTGTACGTGTTCTGCCTACGTTCGGAATGGAAATGGATTCTCTCATATGTAATTTAACATGATCATGTCATGTGAGAGGATCTTAACCATTAATAATTAAATCAACGGTGATGATTGTGTAACTTCTTATTCTTATATTTTTTTTTCTCTCATCTCTTATCACTATTAACTCATCCATATATGGTTATGATTGCCCCACATAACATGATCATGTTAATTAACACACGAGAGAGAGGATCCACTCCCATTCGGCATTGACTATATTCTTAATGTAACTATGAGATTCTAAATGATACTTCGCAATCTCCATTTCCTAATCAGATGAATTCTGTTGCGGGGCACGAAGATACTGAAGGGTAGCTTGGGGTTTCAATTCTCTCTATCTTATAATTTTGGGTTTGGCAAATCCATCATAGTGTAGAACTTATGCATCTCATGATCTCATGATCATGTGACGCTATGTGAGCTCTCTACTGGGCTTGACAAACTCTATTTTTCTTAGTAACAAAGTCCAGTTATTTTACCATGTAAAACACTTTGGTTTGGGCCTAGGCTAAGTCGTTCCTGTCCTATATCTTCCTGCCTCTATCTAGTATTTTAGTGGTGTGTGAAAAGTGTGTATGCGCAATGGTAAACCTTGTTCTAAATTTTTGAGGGAGCATAAATAATTTAAAAGAATAAGATAATCAGGGAAACTGTCATGACCCAGGATCTATTTATTCTATCAAATATTTCTAATGAAGCAAACAAGACAAGAAGAAAAATAAATTTAATGGAAGCTATGGTGTCAGATAAAAAATTGACCAACATCCTCTAGAGTCAATGTTCCATTAAAAGAGTGAATTATAATAAATTCGAAGATTATTATGCATGTACATATGATATTAATTAATTTTTTTTTTTTTGGAAATATAATTTTTTTTATTAATAGTTAAAATATCTTCTTTTTGTTTCAAAAAAATAAGGAGTTGCTTTAGAAGAAGAGCCAAATCCTATTTTTTATAGAAGAATAAAAAATAAAGTGACTGATGTAGACAGCATAAATTTTTTTTGATTAACTATTTATTCCTCAATATTACAAGGAGCGTAAATAGATAGCCGTAGAACCATTTTGCTGCGGAGTAATCAGCAGTTACAATTACAAATGATGCAGCTACTAACATATATATAGGTTGCCTTGGGGAATATAAATTTCCTTAAATATAAAACTCAAACATCCAAAGAAAACAAAGCATTGTATAATTAATCTAAATTTGGAAGATATTATGGCTTAGGTCGAATTCCTTTAGCAATTGATTCAGAGTTAAGGGGACCGGAACCTTTTTTCTCTTTTAACTTTTTAAGTCTTAACTTATTATTATGGGAAAAAGAAGTATCCTTTTGAATGACACAAGCTTGTGTCATTTTAGGTGTTTTACACAAAGTACGACCGGCCGTAATTTGTGTAAAACTGAAAAATTACTTCTTTTTTTTTCTCCTCAGTCATGTCGCTGACGTATAAAGTGAAAAAAAAAGTAACTTTTCAAAATTACACAGAGTACGACCGGTCGTACTCTGTGTAGATCACTTGTGTCCTTTTGAATAACACACACTAAACCCTATTATTATTATTATGAATAGAGATTCAGGACGTAAGAAAAGACACTTTGGGTTTTGGACTTAAGGCTATATTACAGTGACCAAAAAAACATACATTAAAATTATAGGAATCTGCACCAAAGATGCTAGCCAAGTCCAACGTAAATGATAATATAAGAAACAAAGCAATGCAAAAAAAAAATGCCATCCACACTGCAGGTTATTATTACTGAAACAATATGAAAATATTTCAAGTGAGAACTATGCAAAATAATACTCAGATATTTGCAATCTTAGTGATCCTTAGGAGGACGACCATTGGCAGTGGCAAGTCTGCATCTCAACTGAAGAAGTTCCTTGCTTGAATCGTCTCTGTGTATAACTGAAAGGGGCAAAGCCCCAACAACACAAAGACAGAAACAGAAAAACAGACACAAATTACACAAATCCGAAAACAGAAATCAGTGGGGAGTATCAGTTGCTCCAATCAAGTCTTCTTCCAGAAGAGCACTCAACTCATTAGGCATCAAAGGGAAAGTCCTTGACCCTCTCATATTAACAAGAGAAGTCTAAACGTAGCATGGTTCTTACAGCCCTCCCATAATAGCACCCAATTATGTATTTTTTAATGTGAAAATAAGAACAAAATTTTATAAGTACAAATTAAGGAATTTCATTTTGCCAGTTATTATAAAAAAAATAAAATTAAGAGACAACTAACTTCATTAGCCATTAGTAAGTGCAAATAATTTAACTTGGTTTTGTGGGGTGCGTCAAGGCCCATGCAGTAGTGGAACGCACAGGCTACGCTTAAGATTTACCTTGGAGGTTTTTCAGTGTTGAAAGAATAATTTGTAATTTTCTTAGTAGACTTTGAAGTTGTATTCCGTAATCTCAAAATAGTGGTTAAGTCATTCTATAAGTTCTTTAGTTTACCCGAGCAACTTCTAGCATTCCTAGATGTTGAAACATGGGAAGTTTATCATATACATTATCTAAAGTTCACTATAAATGGAGAAAGGAAGAACGAAGCACAAGAAATTGTGGGAAAATGCAGGAAAGCAAAGAAAATCAAAGAGGAAAAAGTGCAGAAGCAAGAGAATGATCATTAATGAAATACTGATAGATCAGAATTCCAACTATTTAAAACCAATAACCAACTTAATACAATTTAACTAAGCTGTGTAATACATAGGGAAAGAAGTTACATGACATCGTTGTTTCGTTTTATAAGAAAAATAAATGCTTAGTTAAGCGTCAAGTGGAGGATGTTAGAATATCTATCAAACTTATCAACTTCCTATATCACACATAAGGGTGAATGCTTGTATGTGTTTTGTCGAGTTTAGGAATTGATTCATGTAATTATGTGATTTCAAATATACTTTTCAATCTCCGCTTCTAATTATATGAATATTGTGGGCATGAAGCATGAAATACTAAATTAGAATAAACATATCAATGTTTCATAAGTTAGCTTTAAACATTATAAATACAATGAAAATACTATCATTCATCTAATTCTTATGGTATACCACCTGTATTAGTATAAAAGTTCAGAAAAATTATTGATAAATTCAAGTTGGAAATATTCAAAAGTATCCGATGTGATACGTGTGGGATATCGGTATGATAACTATTTTAAACTATTGAATATTGATTCATGAGAGAACCTAAATAGTTCAAAAAAAAAAACATGAAAAACAAAGACACGTCAATTTATTCTGGCACAAATCATAAGGAAGCAAACGACACAAACTGAGAAAAATAAAAATTAATGGAAGCTAAGTTGCAGGATGAGAAAAATTGACCAATTTCGTGACATCATATTAAGCCAATGTCCCGTATTTTGTAGAGCAATGGAAAGAGTGCTTGGTTTAGACACCCAAAATTGTTTAAATTATCTATTCCTTATTTATGCAAGGAGCACAATGCAAATAGTTGAATCATTTTGTTGGGCAATAGTCAGTAGTTACAACTATAAATGACGCTGCCACTACCATACATGCATGGTGCCTTGGGGAATATAAAAAATCCCAACTTCTTTGACAAATTCATCATTGCAATCCCAAACCATTTTCCTCTTCCATTAAAACCCGAGAAAGAAAGAATAAGAAAACTCTGCTTGCTCGAAAAATTCCTTAAACTATAAAACTCAAAACAAAATACTCAAAAACCCAAATAAAACAAGGGTTTTATAAGAGTTATGTTGTAGGAAAAGTGATTGTGTTATGTTATAGAGATTCGTTTTGCGTGTCAATTTTTATTTTTTTTTGCTGCGGGCCCCACTAAATGTTGTGTGTGTAAGAAATTTTTTGTAGTCATGTTAAATGAAGAATGCAAATCCCATAAAACAATACATCTTACGAATTAATCTAAATTTGGAAAATATTCTATTTGCCTCGAGTTCCTTTGGCAAGGGAAGGTGAACGACTATGCATTTTTATATCATTTGAGTCTTAAAACATTTCTTTAAAAAATAATAATTATGAGCATTAACTAGGCCCCATAAGGGGTAATGGCGTAATGCTACTCGGAGACAATACACATCATTTCACATCCGTTCAACTTTTAGTTTTTACCATATGATTTCTACGTATCTCCATTTTGATTCTACCACCTTAGCTGATGTGCGGTTATGTGATTCATGGATGTTGTGCAACTTGCATTTTCTGGCCATAAGAGAAGAGACTTCGGTTTGGAAAAAAGGAAAGTGGTTGGTACTCATATTCAGGAGTCAAATCTACTAAGGTAGCGGAATCAGAGTTTAAGAGTATAGAAATCAAATGGTGAAAACAAAACTATAAGCCAATGTACATGTATATGTGTGTCACTCATATTAACTCCTGTCACAGCATGTCATCGATACAGAATGAAAAATTAAACATTAATCCAAACTCATAGGAATAAATTCGATAGTCACAGCAGCATTACGACTACAATATCAGAAAAAGGGGGAAATTCAAGGCTGTCACAATACCAAAGATGCTAGGAAATGGCAACGTAAATATGAAAAAATTAGAAGCAATGGAATCTTAAACATCCACAAAAGCAGTGCAAAACTGCCATTCACACTGTAGGTTATTCATTCGGGATGTATCAGCAAATTGCAAATGAAATATACATACATGTTGCGAGGTTGATCTCACATATGTATACTATATATCAAATTCATGCCCAAAGAACTCCTGGTTAATCATGTCCTGGATTAAGGTTTTTCGCAATGAGAATCGTATTCAAGTTGCTGGCTATTTCAGCTAACCCTATGTCTGTAAAAGCAACCATAATCTTTTTACACACAAGCATGTCAAAATCTGTGGTAGTTGATTGCTTCCATTGATCAATAACTTCCCCTACTTCTTTCGTATGACCAAGCATCAGATATGAAGAAATAATGCAGATATAATTCCTGCTAATCATTTTCTGTTTAGTCATTCTCAAGGAATTCCATATCTGATCAAGTTTATCCTTACTTCCCAGCCCAGCATATAGAATGATTAAGAAATCATATGTTATCCATTGCCTTTGGGTGATCCTTTTCTCAGCCTCAACAAGTGAGTTGGAACTTGCATTATCAAGATGACCTACAGTAATATATATATTGGCCAGGTTCAGATATCTTATCCAACTTTCATTAGAACCAGCACCATGACTCATTTCATCGAGAATCCTTCTAACTTCATCAATATCAAGAGTAGCAGCACACGAACTTATCCATAGGTTGTAAGTAAAGATATCTGGGGCAACCTTTTGTTGTTTCAGTTCCTCAACAACTGATGGGACCTTTTCAACCTGCCCAATTGACATGTAAAGAGTCATCATTTCGTTGTAAGTAAGGGCATCAAAGGAGAGGTTTGAATCCTTTATCCTTTGATAAAGTTCCTCAGCCTTTTCAGTCAATTTTTCTCCTGCAAAAGAATGGAGGAGGGCTGTGTAAGTTTCACTTGTCTTTGCAGCAAGAGGTAGACCCTCAAAATATCGCTCTGCAGCATCAATGCCAAAAACTTTGGTCATCAAATCTATGCGGACTGCATAATCAGATTCTGATAACTCGTATCCTTCATGGGTAACCATCCATTCTGATATCTACAATCATCAATAGTCACAAACTGTGAAGCCGTAGATCCAACAAAAAAGAGAGAGCCATATTCATAATAAAGCTTTCCAAGTCTGATGCAATCTTATCACTAGAAAAATTCAAAATATCACTCAGGAACCATAAGAAATATTTGAAATTGATTGAAATTTGTAGTTTGTTGGAGCAAAAATAATATTTGAAACTAAACTAAAATGATAATAATTCAAATATATTCACTACAGGAAACTTCTATAGTGTTCTGATGGCATCATATGTGCTGCGATTTACCAAAGACCTTACTTAGTATATTAATGAACAACACTAGATGATCAGAGGACCCTTCATTCCAACAATTATAGTCATTACAGAAATAAGTAAACTAAACTACCTTTCGATCTTTCTTGAATTCTTCTTCTGAACCTTACAAAACTAATAATAATCACTCATGGAAATTCAGTAAAATGCCCTGATTTGTTAATATAAATACACCATTTTAAGAAGATAAAGATCCAAAAAACTTGTAAGATCTGCTAGGTAGCCTTCTAAAGTTTTTTTTTTTTTTTCACTACTCTATCTTCATAGTTTCTGAAAATTATCCCTAATTCACCATCACAGACTTATCACCGAACTATAATACCCATAACTTAGCAGAACTCATAAAATTTCAATATTATATTACACTAATTTATCCGTTTTCATAGCAACCAATGAAAAGAGGCTATGAGAAAGGAAAGGGTCAAACCTCCAGAGCGTGTTTGTAACGCTGAGATCTTCTAAGCTCTTTGGATATATCTCGAAGCTCAGACACCGTAATAGGATTCCCTTCGAGGGCCCATTTCTGAAGAATGTTGGTGGCGCTTCGTTTGGGGAGCCTTAGCCTCAAAATTCTGCTCCTTAGGTCGTCACTCTCCACAGAGCTCGGAGTCTCTTCAACAAAATCACTACTCACAGCGCCCGAAGAGACAAATCTTGCTCTGTTCAGAAGACAAGGTGACTGATAACGACAATTGTTGCTGATTAAACCGCTATTTCTGCATGATGACGAATTGCAATTGGGTCAGTTCAACTACCAATACCCAAAAATTATAATCTGATTGGTTACTGAGAAAATGCGAGAAGAGAAAAGAAAGTTTGGAACTTGCTTATGTTCCGAATCTGGGGATTAGAGAACTCAATTCAGTGGGCTGTGTCATATATGGATTGAAAAGAAAAGAAAAGAAAAGAAAAAAGTGCAGAATCACATGCTTGTTCAAAGCTTAAATTTTCTGTTCTATTTTTCTCGGTAACCAAAAACAGAGAGAACGGGAAGAGGGAGCAGGTTGGCTTACCGTCTGAGAGAGAGGAACAGTGATCGATACGCCATTGGCGGCGTTTGTCACTTGCTCCCTTCCGCTTATAAGTGCTGCTTCATTTTACTCAGCTTTACCATAATAATTATCACCTTAATAGCAATATCTCTGTTGTAAAATATTTATTTTCGATGATTATAACCGGTCAAAAAAAATAAATGTAATTATTTCCTATTCATGGACATAATTTCTACGAAAATTATAATGATAAGTTGCTTCAGAAGTTGATGACATTCTTATAATTTTTAATAGTTCTTACTTTCATCTTCTTATGTTTTTTTTTTTTTTTTGAAAAAATATGTATTATTTTAAAAGATATAAAGTTGTGTCATTCTAAGTGAGAGAAAAAGATAGATGAAGGAGAAGAGAGAATGGACAAAAAAATATAAAGATATGGATTCCACCTCTTTGTGAGAGTGAAATGATATAAGTTGTGTCATTTAAAGACACAAACATTTTTTTTTCTCCGTTCATTTTATAACAATCTCCAATTTATAGAGATTTATTACTTTTTGAAAAACTAAATATTTAAATTCGTCCTCTAAATTCACTTCCTTTGATATTAAAAATCGATTTCAACATTAGAGCCTTTAATATCTTTTGGACATTAAATTGACTTTTTGACCCTTTCGCCCCTCATTAAATAATTAATAACCAATTTGCCCCTCCCCCAGAACTATCCATCATCCTGCCCCCATTTAGTCGATTAAGTTGCATTTTAATCGACTAAATGAGCAAAACTCAAAAATCATGAAACGCGAAATTTAGTCGACTAAATACTCACCTTAATCGACTATATTCGTTGCACTTTTAGTCGACTAAGTCCATTATTTAGTCGACTAAGTCCATTATTTAGTCGACTAAATGTCGCAGAAAACCCTATATCCAGACCTCTCTCGGACTCATTTTCATTATATTCGAAATCAAAACTCCTCTTTCTCTTGTTTGTCAGCTGTGATCCTTCCAATCACTCTTCCATTTCATCCCACCACCTCTAAGGCATAGTAATTGTGAAATCATTGTCATTTCCCTTTATTCCTCAATTGTTTCCCCCAAATCCGAACCCAAAACCCTAAAATCTGATTCATACCCCCAAAATTCGTGTGAAAGATGAGCTCAAGTCCAAACATGTATGTTACCATGATTTACTATGATGGAAAGCATTATGAAGGCCCCAACGGTGTTCAATTTGAAGGAAAAACGAAAATGTTGAAAATCAAACGGGGCACTACGTACAATGAGCTGAAGGGGAGGATTCACCAAAAATTGGGGCTACACGGCAGTCATGGCGTTCAACGGATGATCGCCAGGGTAGAGTCTACAGTTGGTAAGGATGCTATATTCTACATTGGTAATGATATATGTGACGATGAAGATGTGGACTGTGTCATAGATGCATTTGTGGACCGAAAATTTCAAAACTTTATTGAGATATATGTTGAAATAGACTGTGGTCAATCTTCATCTGCACCTGTGCATGGAAGAAGTCAAAGTCAAGAAGACAGAGTGGTCGGTTTATCTGCACCTGCACCTGTCTTAAGTCAGATAACACTGAGGGAAATAGATGAGGATGAGCATGACGAGGATATGGACAGTGAAGACGATGGTGAACCCGAGAGTGTTATTCCGCTGGGTGACACCTCAGATACGGACGTAGAGGGGAATTTTGATGCTGATACTAGTTCAGGAAACTTGAGTTCCCAGGTTATGCCACCACTCCGTGTTGACCCTGTTAGCAGTGGTAAGATTGTAAATTAAAGTTTTAATTTTACATATATATATATTTGTGTTTTCTTTCATACTGACAGATAAGTTTAAATTTGGACGTAGGTTCTGAGATTGAGCCATTTTGGAACGACATCCCACACTATTCCTTCATTAATTGGGCTCACCCTAATGATGAGACGGAGATATTGTATGGCGACGATGACATCCACGGTGGCTGGCATTTAGGGGATCCATTATATTTGTACCAGGAGTTTCGAACTAAATCTGAAATGCAACATGCAGTCAAATTATATTGTATGAAGTCTCATCGTACTGCTGTGGTGGCAAAAAGTGATGACCATAGATTTGTGATGAAGTGTCGACACCATAATGATGGTTGTCCCTGGTACGTGCGGGCTATGTTGCCCAAGAATGGAAATAGTTGGGTTGTTAGTAAGTGGGGTAAAAAACGCACCTGCCTAAACCAAGGTCTTACTCGGGACCATAGACAGCTGGATTCTGATGTAATTTGTGCAGTCATTATAAGTATGTATTACAGAATTTTTGTTTATGGTTTAATTTTTCGGTATATTTATTGACTGTGTTGATTTCGAATTTTGTATAGGTATGTTAAAAGAAGATCCATCCACGAAACCAGTTCTTATTCAGGAGAGGGTACAAAGTTTGTATGGATACAACATATCTTATAGGAAGGCTTGGAAGGCTAAAATGAAGGCCATTGTTAAGTTGTTTGGCGACTGGGAAAAATCATATGCCATCTTACCTGGTTGGCTGACCTACATGACACAGATTAATCCTGGTTCTGTGTTCAAGATTGATACGGACCAGTGTTGTGACGAACGACGTGTCTACACCGATAAGGCTGTCTTTCGCAGGGTATTTTGGACTTTTCACCAGTGCATTGAGGCTTTCAAATATTGTAAACCCATAATCCAAATTGATGGCACGCACCTGTACGGGAAATACAAAGGTACCCTCTTGATTGCTACGTCACAGGATGGTGATGGATTCATTCTGCCTATTGCGTTTGCCATTGTTCCACCGGAATGGAGAGATTCGAACTTGGTTGGAGAGAAGGGACAGAATGGAGCGATTTAGTCGGTTAGGGTTTGAAAATAACCCCCTTTGCGAAATGAGGTTTTTTTAAAAAACCTGATCTGCGACATTTAGTCGACTAAATAATGGACTTAGTCGACTAAAAGTGCAACGAATGTAGTCGATTAAGGTGAGTATTTAGTCGACTAAAATTCGCGTTTCATTATTTCTGAGTTTTGCCCATTTAGTCGATTAAAAGTGCAACTTAATCGACTAAATGGGGGCAGGATGGTGGATAGTTCTGGGGGAGGGGCAAATTGGTTATTAATTATTTAATGAGGGGCAAAAGGGTCAAAAAACCCATTAAATTAGTGTAGAAAGGTAGTGTAAAAATACATTAAAATGAAAGTAAAAATATTTCTTAACGAAAACAAATAAAAATGCCGCATAAAAATATAAAAACGGTAAAAACGTGAGTTTTTAAGTTTTTACTTAAACTCAATTTTTTAATTTTTTAATTTTAAAAAAAATCCTTGTTCCATTTTTTTAAACTTAATTTTATTTTTTTATTTTTTTGGACTTATACCTTATATAGTTACGTGACTTATATCTTTTAAATATGAAGTTATTCATTGAGTTTTGAATAGTGACTTATGTGATTTTTTTTCACATGAATATATATAATTTTGTATCTTAACCTTAAGTAGTAAAAATTTTAAATTTCATGTCGTTTTTAGGATTTATGTTTCTATCAACCCTTCCTTTTCAACGTAAAAACTCAATTTTGACAACATTGTCCGTACCTACATCAAAAATTGTGTTAATTTCTTCTTTTTTTAAATGATGGCCCTCCCATAACTTTGTGTATGCGAGAGACAAATCTTTCTCCATGAAAAAAGTATTGCCCTTATTTTATAAGGAAAAAGTATTCTTATGCTACATGTGATAAATTTCTTTTTTACACACCCTTCGATAACTGTGCCACCTTTTTTTTTCTTTTTTCAGGTGGTGGAGCCCACAAGTTTATCTCTATGACATGAAATAATTTATCTCCTTTAACATGAGATTAATAAAACCCTATTTTATATGAGATAAGTTATATTTACAATTTTTTTATTTAGAAATTTTAAAAATTACACTACGTACTCTTGAGAGTGTTTTTAACCGAGTCTACTCCCGCGAGTACATATTTTAGTTTGTAAACAAAAAGTTTATAAATATAACTTTTTTCATTTTATATTATGAAAAACTATGTTAATATATAAATTTTAAAAAACAATAATTTTGAACATTTTTTTAAAATAAAATTGTGGAATTTAATTATGATAAAATCATTCGATCATTTATTATACTCATGTATTATTATATCTTTAACACTAGTTTTGTCTCTATTCTTTATTTTTGAAGTCAAATAAAATTCAAGGCGTTAAAGAAAACAAAAACAAATCACATTCATGGATGTACCCTTAAGAAAAAAAAATCACAATCATGACATACTTGTTCACAAGATCACAAGCTAGCACTACACACATAGATAATTTGTAACATTGTTGAGAAAATCAGATCGGACCGGTCGGGTCGACCCGAAACTCTGTGAATCGGCCATCTGATCGGTTCAGTTATCACATTTGATCAGTCAAGTATCAGACCCGATACAATCCAGTATGACCCGGCCGGTTTTGGTGAAAAATCGGTGACCCGACCCAGATTTTATAAAAAAAAAATTCTAAAAAAAAAAATCATAATTGACATATTTCAGTGATCGGTTACTTATTGACTTACATAAGTTATGTACCTACAATTTTAATATTATCTCAATTATGCACTATGCAAGAAATTTTGATTTGATAGTTACAGATGTCATTTACCGAACCTGAAACACCAATGTAACAAGCATTATGTGTTTGTTTAATCTTTTATTGGACAATAATGTATAATTTATTTTTTATATTAAAATATTTAGAATTTATATTATTTTTTCAGCTATTTAAGTATATTTATAATTTTTTTAATATAAATTATAGATTTATATATAATCACCGGATCATGCGGTTAAACCAGTAACCAGTACCTCGATCGGGTCATTCACCGGACCGACTTTAATAACATTGATTGATTTGTAACATTGTTAAGATCTAATTGAAGACTTGAGGTGTTTTTTTTTTTAAAAGAAAAACATTGATCAACGTGGGATTATAAAGAACTTCCCACAAAACGTCTTGACCACTTCGAGCGCAGGCGCAAGAAAGAGGCTACTGAACAAGTTCACACTTGCTCTGCCAAAAGTTTCACTTTTCCCTACCTGTTTCATTTTTATAAATATAATTCAGATTGTTTTTTATGTTTGTCAGCTACCGTTGTTTTTTCTCGTTCACTCTTAATTTTTCCATTCCTTTTTTTTTTTTGGTGATGATTATTATTCCCTTGACGGTAAGATGTGCTGAAGCCAAACTCTTTCGAGTAATTTGTGTCGCTAATGTATAGCTGCTTGTTTTTTGGCATCAACCAAACACACGACTTAAATCCACTGACTAGATATGCTGCAGATCTAAAGGGGGAAATGAGCAGAGGATGTTAGATAGTATCATAGAGGAAGGTGCTTTAGAGAGAGGTGGTATCGAAGATCTTGAGAGAGATAAACCAGAAATCAGTAGAAATGGTTGCAGTGGAAGTTGAGCCAACAAAATTAGACCTGCCATGCTCCAATGGGACGTAGCTGCAGAGGTTCATGGTGTGGCAAGGGCAACCTCAACAACGCACAGGGCTCCAAGCTAATAATCCTTTTATGTAAACTCAGCCAGGCAGGATATAAGAACGGAGGTAGGAGGATGACAGCATCAAGCTGATTGTGTAATTTGCCACACATAATAACAAATTCCACATAAAACAGCAAGTAATCGATATCTCAACTAAAGTTCCATACAAAATGTCCAAGTCACTGATATTGCTTAAGCACAACACCAGCAATTAATACTAACAACATACAGCAGATTGCTAAACAAAATTTTGATGATAGCTTATCAGAAGCAGAAATGATGCATAAGCCATTAATTAACTGTCGTAAAAATTCTCTGTTTTGAAGGCAAGCGTGAAAAAGCCCTGGCTAATAGAAATATGATAAATTGCGTCGCATTGTAATGTCCATAACTGAGGCCTAAAAAAGAACCTGTCAAAGCACTTTAAAGAGAAACAAAAGACCAAAAGGAGAAAGAACAACATTTTTCAATCACTTCTGCCCCTTTTCTTTACTAGTTTTACAGAGCATGAATATGGAAATTCTTGTTTCTCGACACCAAGCTAATCAAGTATAAAGCCTCTGTATACAAACTTTTGCCATAATTATTTAACAATTTTTTGTAAAAAAATTAAGAACGCCATAATGTAATTTTGATTTGATTAATCAAAAAATTTGAAATCATTACTTAATCATTGGCGCCCCTTTCCACTTCTGTTCACGTGCTTCAAAGAGGTAAACATGAAATTCCCTGAAAACAGTGCTTCTTTATCTGCCAATTCAAATTCCATGACTTAGCAACAGAAGATTAAAAAAAAAAAAAAAAAAAAACATAACAATATCTCCATAAGATCTGCAGAATTCTTTCATAAACATGTCTTTCCCAGTTTCATGCATTCTACTAGTAAAACAAATAACAAACAGGGAGTACTCAAAATAATTCTGTTTCTTTGGGAAGTCAGAAGTGACATGCACAGAGCATTATGTGAATATTTAATGACTTGATGGAAATTCTTTATGTTTCAAACTACATCGTCACAGACACCAGGGAAAGAGCAGTGCATGTTGAGAACAGTTAAGTTAAAAGAGGAAATGCAGTCCAGTGATCTCAAATTCAAACCCTTGGTATCCATTTGTGTTAAAACCTTGGTAAGGAGAGTTTTGTCGCCCTTATATGGACTTTCCCGACTTGAATCCGGATCAGTCAGCTCAGCGATTGTATACCGGATGATTTATACCAAAAAATAAAAGAGGGAATGAGGTCCATGAGATAGTATCCGTAGGAAGTTTAGAGATGTAGAGATAACTAGCGCATGGCAATCAATTATTGAACAATTTGTACGAAACTAGACAAATTGATCAAAATTTTCTATTGGAACTAAAGCTGAGTTCTTTGCGAAAAATAGTTCCTCACTGTCTGTGGCCCCAAAGCCCTTTTTCAGGGCAGCTTTTCAAATTGTAGTGTATATGTGTGATGGGAAGCTCTTCAGCTCACTTTACCACCAAGTATATGGCTGTAGGCAATAGCCCATCGTTTTTCACCCACTTCATGATCAATAATATAATACAATTATATACAGTTCTTACAGGCAAGGACAGAACAGACAGTATATACCTGTTAGCCCATCGTTTTTCATCCACTTCATGATCAATAATATAATACAATTATATACAGTTCTTACAGACAAGGACAGAACAGACAGTATATACCTGTTAAAGTCATGCAACTTGCTTCCCGGTGAGCATACCTGGCCAATGCCTATAGGAAAACTTGAAATTCAGTATCAATGTGTGCGTACTCAATATAAATGATGAGAATAAGGAAGCATTGTGGAAACAACTGAAAGCATCATGTATTTTATCAAAAAAGGAAGCAAAAAAATAAAAACAAATAAAGAGATGGTGATGACCTGGAGTTCAATATGCTGAAAAATGTTATTTTGGAAACAACTCTAGACAAAGTGACAAATTGGTAATCAATACAAAAGACGGGAAGCTTTAGCAACAGAAAAAGTCCCTCGCTTGGTCATATATACTTCATGAAAAGTTATCACTACATGCTCCCTAGTTTGGCAGAGACTCCAATATAAAGGTAATATGTCAAAAAATGATCAATTATAAAAGGGAGAATTCTTGAAAAGTCAAGCCAAGCCAAAATGTTAACCCAGAGCAAAGGCAACTAGAGAATGAAGTAACTTGACTGGTGAATGGTTAATAAGGTGTATGACTTCATTTACCCGTCACGTTTGGGTCCAACATCTTGGCTTAGCTTGACTTTTCAAGAATTGTCCCATTCCCAAAAGTTTACAATAGAAAAGTCAAGCACAATATCAGTTCCATAAATATAATGAAAAATGTTACATCATATACCTGCACTGACTGAGATGCAGCATCTTCTGGTGTTGAAGAACCATCATCAGAGAATATATTTCTGAAACAGAAATCACAGATAAGGAAAACCTATGAATAAAACGAACCTGACTTTTAAAAGAAGCAGACAATAGTACTGTGTCTTCACTGATTCAATATCAGAAACAGTGAGAAGCAGAGAAAAGATTGATTGAAAGCTTCCTACTTTCAAAAGGTACAAAAAGAGCAGTGAAGAGGATTGAGTTCAGATCAAAACCTACCTCCATATAACATTTGAGAAATCACCCGGTTTAGCTTCTGGAAGCATGGCAGCATCATATGCAATGATGTTACCATAAAAAATCTTCTCGAGCTCCTTCATCCACTTAGTCAATAGTAGGTTAACCTGCCATTTCAAATTAAACGATCATAATTTACAAATATAGAGGCCAATTCCTACATGTCCCCAAATTATTTTGGGAAAATTGTAAAAAAAGGAATTCATGGTAAGAATATTTCTAGTTTAGAACTATTAATTGATAATGAAGTCAATAAGTTAATAATTGCGTGAGCGGATAATTGTTTCTAAAAATGGAAATATCTTGGAAAGATTTCAAAATATACATTCTCAGTGAAAATATATCTACTCATAAAAGATTACTCACTCCAGCTTTGGACACCCTTAGCTCCACATCGTGATTGTAAATCTCATAAAGGTACTGCCCAAATTCAACGCCCTCCTTTCCCTCTTGTTTCAAGCGCCGCAAACATAACCACATATGAAGTACAAGTAAAGAAAATGTTGTTTTGAATGTTTTCTCCAAGTTAAACACTGCAGGCAGAAGAAAGAAGTTTAGAATGCTACAAGATCTAGCACTAGTTTGACAAGCACTAATCCAAAACAAAGTCCTTCCAAACCATAATTACTCCATTCTAATTGCAAACAATTAATTTGAGAAAGTGGTATATCTAGTCACCAGAGACAAGCTGGGATTGACAAAGTGAAACTTTCCCAATTAAACGTGAATCCAATTGTCTTTCTTTAAATGCTTGAACTTCAAAAGCGGAAAAAAGTATGAAAAGGAAGAAATATTATCTTGATAATTCAATCAAAAAATAGCCACAGACATTACTTTAATTAAAATTGCTCTAATCAGAAATTATATTCCCTAAAGGCACCAAGAAAATATAGAACAAAAGAAAAAGAAACATTATTGACCAAAGTAATACATGCAGACACTCCCACAACATAGCCTTCAAAACTCTAAATATCCACCAGAGAAAAAAACCGAAATAAACATGATCCAAAGAACAGATGGAAGTGAAGTAAACATTTCCGTCCCATAATACATGTGGAGGGGGAGAAATTGTCTATAAATTTTGATGCACAAACTCCACAAAATTTTATCTTCCACTTTAACAAAAAATACGGTCAGCAAGAATTTAAAACAGTAGGGGGGCAAATCTACAGCCTCCCACTAATGGCAAACAAGTAAAACATCAGAGAAAATGGCTAATAAGTCTCCAAAGTACTGAGAAGCAGGACACACGCAAGTCTAATGTTTTCGTATTGTAAGAGATTGTCAAATTATAAAACCACAAACCAACCTAGAAGAGTGAATTGGTGGGATATAAGAGCATAGGCACGCATGTAAGTCTTTGTGTGTGCATAATCATTTGAGTTATATATATGTGCAATTGTGCATAAATCCATCTGAGTTCCGAGCATAATGTTTAATTGCTATGAGGAGAATTGACCTTCATAAATGGGAGGTTTATCAACTTGTGAAATGATTCTTCGGTATACAACATTAGCCCCTCGAATTGACTTGCTCTGCTTACTATAAAACATCATCAGTGTGAGCATGAAACGCTTGATGCCCTGGTAATTTGGCTCATGAACTTTCCGCGGCGAATCAGGAGCCAGGGCCAGCGAACAGGGCTTAGACCAAAACATTTTGTCTAGGTTAACCTGAAAATTAGGGATTTTCAGTTAACAGCATCAAATCAAAAAGTAGTCCCTTTTTGTTGTTTTTTTTTTTTGTTAAGCGTAGTTCAAGTTATGGTTGAAGAGTGAAAGTGTATGGAACAACAAAGAAGGTGTGTGTGGTGTTTGCAATTGCATATTTGCATACCACGGGTTCAGGTTTGTCCTCCACCGTTGGCGCGGCCGCGGGTGCAACCGTGGCGTAGCTCAGGCGCGTTCCACAACAAACAGATTTCAAACAACTCTGAGATCCAAACTTGGAGATTGGAGTAATCGCTTTGCTCCATCTTTGCAACATTCTGAATCAGAAACACAAGGTTGATTAATTATTCACAACCTACAATACAACAGATACTGATTCAGTTTTATGATGTAGCAATCGAAAGAAGAAGTATCACAATGCTGAAGATGAGAATCAGCATCCAACAAAAAAAAGAAAAGAAAAAAACCACCCAGCTTTCAATTTCAAACCTTACTCTCAGAAAGACCAACGCTACCGGCAAAGCGAAACGAAACGAAACTAGTTTTGAATCACTAGTTCTGTTATTTCCTAGTTCCTACACAAAGTAATATTATTTTATAATAAAGAATTTGTAATTTTTATTTATTTTTTTCCTTCTGTAAAAGGGTTTTGTATTTTTTTTTTTTTTGAATCTGATAATAATTGCGGTTTAAATATAGTTATTTACTAAAAAGAATTTTAAATATCTTCTGTTTATTCTAAAAGTATCAATTTTGCTCCTTGAACCATAAACGAAACATGAGATATTTCTTTTCTTTACTCATAAACACTAAACGAAGCATATTTGCCTCCTCCTCCGGTCATGAATGGTAAAGAGATTTATAAATATGTGTCAGCCTCGAACTTAAAATCGTCAAAAACAAAGAAAAAGAATTAAATTGTAATATTTTTGACATATTTCAATTTACAAATTAAAATTTAGATTGACATAAAAAAAATTACAGTAAAAATTAAACATAAGGAACTTTAGAATTCACTAGTCTATAGAGAATAATATAAATTATTAAAAATATTATTATCCAATATTTTAAGTTTTGGGTTAAATTGATTCTTTATATGGTATCAAAGCTTCCTGTTCGATCTCGCCGCTCTTCATTTTCTTTGTGAAATTTCTTAACACAAATAGGCTGAGTTTGATACATCATCTACCTTTCAAGCCCAATGGACTCTCTTGTGAGAAAGAGTGTTAGAGAAATATAAAATCATTAATGTAGTATCACCTAACAGTTTAAGCTTTTAGGTTGAAATATTTTATTACATTATATCAGAGCTTTGGTGTCACGGGTTCAATTTTCACCACTCTTCATTTACTCTTTTGGAATTTCTTAACACAGGTAGATCAGCGTGTGCAATATCTATCCTTCAAGTCCAGTAGACTTTCGTGTGAGAGACGTATTAAAGATATATAAAATCATTAATATAACCTCATCGATTAACTTAAGATTTGGGTGATTGATTCTTTAATGCCCTTTATTTATTCAAAGTAGTGTTATTAATATTTAAAAATCATTTATGAAAAAATATAAAGAGTAAGATATTCTTATACTAGTATAAGAATAATAAATGTTACATTTAATCTTAATTATTAGAATTTAATAAGAATTAATAATTAATTAATGACTATAACTCAATTAATTATAATCATTTGATTAATAAAAATTAACAATTAAGCTCAAATATCTTGACCCAAAATATAATTATTATTTTTTTGTAAACATTAAGGTGGAGGAGGATTGTTTTGGGCCTGAAAGAGAGAAGAATGGGTTTAGGTTTGGACTAGGGTTTAAGTCACACAATGTTAGAGAAAATTGAAGAACAAAACGGCGCTAGTAGCTTCCGTTTCCTCTTGCAGTACTAGTACTAATATTACTAAGACTACTAGTGAAGCTTTCCCTTTGAATGAAAAACCCTTGTTCATAATTTCATCGCCTCCACTTGTAAAACCCTACTCTATCTATCTATCACACAAACAAACAAACATTGAACCATGTCTCACTCTGAAACCAAGAAGAAGAAGAAGCAGCAACTCAGCACCAAAAATGACTTGGAAGAATCAACCCCAACCCCAACCCAGAAGGAGAATCAGGAGAAAGAAGATTTGATGATCAAACCTCAGAGCTTCACACCTCCAATCGACACCTCTCAATGGCCCATCCTCCTCAAGAACTACGACCGCCTCAACGTTCGAACGGGTCACTATACCCCTATCCCCTCGGGCTTTTCCCCTTTGAAACGGCCCATCGCCGAGTACCTCAAGTATGGTGTTCTCAATCTGGATAAGCCCGCAAACCCTTCTTCTCATGAGGTTGTCGCTTGGATCAAGCGCATCCTTCGGGTCGAAAAAACGGGTCACAGCGGCACCCTTGATCCCAAAGTCACCGGAAACCTAATCGTTTGCATTGACAGAGCCACGCGCTTGGTCAAATCCCAACAGGGTGCCGGAAAAGAGTACGTGTGCGTCGCACGCTTGCACTCCTCCGTCCCCGACGTTGCTAGGGTTGCTCGCGCCCTCGAGACACTCACCGGCGCCGTTTTTCAGCGCCCGCCGTTGATCTCCGCCGTGAAGCGCCAGCTTAGGATTAGGACCATCTATGAAAGTAAGCTCCTTGAGTTTGACCCTGATAAGCATTTGGTTGTTTTTTGGATTTCTTGTGAGGCTGGTACCTATGTGAGGACCATGTGTGTTCATTTGGGTTTGGTTCTTGGTGTGGGTGCTCACATGCAGGAGCTTAGGAGGGTGAGGTCTGGTATCATGGGTGAGAAGGATAATATGGTTTCTATGCATGATGTTATGGATGCTCAGTGGGTTTATGATAATTTCAGGGATGAGAGTTATTTGAGGAGGGTTGTTATGCCTTTGGAGATGCTTTTGACTAGTTATAAGAGATTGGTTGTTAAGGATTCTGCTGTCAATGCTATTTGTTATGGTGCCAAGTTTATGATTCCTGGCTTGCTTAGGTTTGAGAATGATATTGATGTTGGCGAGGAGGTTGTGCTTATGACCACTAAGGGCGAAGCTATTGCTCTTGGCATTGCTGAGATGACTACTGCTGTCATGGCTACTTGTGATCATGGTGTTGTGGCCAAGATCAAAAGGGTGGTCATGGATCGAGATACCTATCCCAGGAAATGGGGTTTGGGCCCCAGGGCATCCATGAAAAAGAAACTCATTTCTCAGGGGAAGCTGGATAAGCATGGCAAGCCGAATGACAGTACTCCCCAAGAGTGGCTCAGGAATCTGGTTTTGCCCGCTGGTGGGGATAGCGTGATTGCTGGTATGGCTGCTGCTCCTGAACTTGATGCTGCCAAGAAAGAGACTGTTGTAGTAGAGAAGGCCAAGGTTGAGAAGGATGGAGATGGGGAAGGGCGCAAAAGGAAGAAACATGAAAGCACTGATAGCCCTGCTTCCCTTCCTGTTAAGAAGGTGAAAGTTGATGAAGTTGAAAAGCAAGAGACAGTAAAGGTAAAGAATGTAAAAGAAGGGACTCCGGAGGTTGAAGTTCAGAAGAAAGAGAAGAAGAAAAAGAAGAAGGACAAGGAGAATGGTGGAGTGGCATCTTCAGACGAGGAGAAAACTGAAAAGTCTGAGAAGAAGAAGAAGCACAAGGAGAAGGCTGAAGATGGTTCCCCAAATTTTGACAAGTCTGAGAAGAAAAAGAAGAAGAAGAAAGACAAAGATAACGAAGATGCTGCTGCTGAAATTACTAATGGAAAGGATGACAGTAATGCTGATAGGAGTGAAAAGAAGCATAAGAAAAAGAGAAACAAAGATGCTGAGGAAGAATAGATGAAGGCATACTTTTGTGTTTTGGTTAAATGGACTGGTTATGTAATGCCTATTTCTTGATCATTCATAATTTAACTTTGCTTAGTGTGTTGTTATTTTCTTTAACATTTTGATAATTTTTATGATGCTTTTTCTCTTCTTCTTTTTCTCCACAATTATGCTTTTTTTTTTTAAGTCGTGTAGTATGCTAATCTTTCTGACGTGTAATTGATCTCTTACAATTGCACCGTTGACATATCTCCGGCGCTTGTATTTGCCTAATCAGTTGCGGAGCGTTTCCACTTACATGTGCTGAAACGAATTTGTTGTAGGAGAATTTTACGGTAACTTTGCCGAAGTGTTGATGAGCATTTTGGGTTAATTGGTTAAACCTACTTTTTCTTTTCTTTTCTTACTAAAATGAGCCTTTGGGAATTGGCTGCTTGCAATTGTTTGCAAACCACACCCCAAATAAGCACAGGCAGCTGCAGTTTAAGGCATCGGGCTGCATATATTACAATATAAATTCAATTAGTTCACTTTTAGTTTTGTCCTTGTCAAATTCGTTGGCTAAATCTTCATAATTTTCTGGCGGAAGGATATAAGTAAGTTCAAATTACTTTATTTGCTTCTAAGTTGTCAAGTCATCACAAATTCGCGATGCATCTACTGATTCCATCAAACTGTTATAATCTGTAAAACCTCGTCACCTATCCTCCTTGTGCTGGATCCAGAGTATGAGTTTCATACAAGGGTCGAATTCTGGTGTGCCATTTGCCTATGATTTTCATTATTTTATACATCTATTTGGGGCCGGATTCAATTGTTTTGCTAGTTTCTTTTTTTGTCCATTTCCCTGCATCATTGCATGACAGTATCATCATCATTACTTTTAGATGAATAAAAGGACTACTTGCAGGTTGATTATTGACTCTAGAAAACCAGAATATCATATGTAGACATCATGTATGGAGCAATCTGGGTAAAATTAAGCAATAATTGTTTGCAAGTTTATGTTTTGCTACTATACACTTGAGCATTCGCATAATTTATTTGATGCATACAGAAAACTCCGAAACTCGCAGTTTTGTTGAGAGTTACATATACATTTTTGTTGTCAAGAAAGCATAAGCTAGTAGGACCATTAAAAGCTTCTCAGAGGACCATTTGGCTTCTTTTGACTACGGCTATACCAGGATAGAAGGTATTTCCCGTTGTAGGAGCGTGACCTCTTCATTGAACTAGGAACACCCTGCAGATATCTTGTTAACCTGAAAGAAGAGCTACCTTTGGAAGTTGTTGGCAAACTCTCGTTTCCAGTAACTCTCTTTGAAAAGGTAGGTTCAATGACGCCACCAAGCACTCTATTTGAATTACCATTAGATTCTACTGATAGAACAGCAGCAAGAGCGATATTGATATCAGCAACAGAAGGAGAATCCAGAGAAACAGATCTTCTTGGTCGAATTCTCACCACCTCTGCAACTGAACTTTCAGTTTCACATACCCTTATCCCATCTTCAACTTCCAATTGGCATTCTTCCTCTGCCCTATTCCTCAATTCAACATCAGGAGTACTATTTTCCATTCCTCCACTGGTTTCACCACTATTTTCCAAGATTTCCATGTGGGTATTTTCCAAGGAACTTGAATCAACAACATTAGAGTCCAGAGATGGAATGCTTGCAGTTGCAGGGTTGGTGACAATGGGAGCCCGGCACATGGGACAATTGGTATGTGATCTGAGCCAGGTATCAATACAATGTAAATGAAAAGCATGATGACACTTTGGCAAAAGTCTGAGATTCTCATCCTCTTGAAACTCACTCAAGCAAACAGCGCAATCTGTTCCTTCAATCAAGCCCTCTCCTTTCTTATACTTACAAATTGTGATGGCACTGATAATGGATTGATGAAGACCAGGGGTACGGATATACCAAATGGGGTGGTCCACCACAGGACCATGTTCTTCATCAAGAAAATCATCACGGGTCACCTGCGTTTGCTGCCTTGATGGTATCCTCCTCCTTGAGCAAAGCCTGGCATATATGACACGGAACAAAACTACAAAGAAAGCAGCAGCCAGAAGAGCAAGAGTGAGGAATAAATAGTTGGAGATTTTGTGATGGTTTCCTTGATGTTCATCATCAGCTGTATAGAAAGGAGGAACTTCTTGTGGTGGTAGTGGTGGTGGTGCTGCAGAATATAGGGGATTAGGTAGGCAAATCTTGTAGCAAACTTTGCAATCTGATGATGAACAAGACTCAGACTCAGACCCCTCCCCATGACAGATCACCTGACAAATTTCTGGCATCAACTGTATGTTTGGCAAACCCATATCAGAGACGGGATTGGTAGTGAAGGAAAAGAGAACAAGTCTCAAATCAACATCAGGGTTCGGAATTCAGAGGGTGGTGGATGGATGATGGTAGAACCGTAGAAGACAGGACTCAAAGTTTGACTTGTCCACGGTAGAGATGAATAATTTTTTAAGTGTTCACATCGTACTGGTTGTAGAAATTATGATTAAACACGTCATTTATTAAATTAATGTAATTATATGTTATCATATAGTACTATAAAAAATTTGAATAAATATCACTTTGATCCTCAACAAATTTCACGATATCTGTTTTAGTTCCTAGCAAATAAAAATACTATTTGTGGTTCTTAAAAAATTCAAAATAGACTTATTTAGTTGAAATTGTCGTCCTTCACAAATTTAAAAAAGATTCACATTAGTTCTTTGAATAGACTAAAATGAGATTTACTTTGAATTTGTTAAGAATCACAGATAACTTTTTTATTTACTAGGAACTAAAGCTCAATCATAAAAGAAAGGATTTTATAAGAGTTATGTTGTAGGAAAAGTGATTATGTTATGTTATAGAGATTCGTTTTGCGTGCCGATTTTTTTTTTTTTTTTTGCTGCGGGCCCCACAAAATGTTGTGTGTGTAAGAAAATTTTTGTAGTCATGTTAAATGATAGATGATAAACCTTAAAAGAAAAGCTCACAAAATTTAATAAGCGCTTTAAATCTTATGACATGAAAGAACAGCTTGGCTTATGTATGTGCTGTCTCCATTCCATCTTTGACATTTTAGATTTTGGTTTTCGTTGGACAGTTGGACTTCATTTTTCATGTCCCTTATGTCGGTTGGCTTGGGCCCACTACCAAATTAAAGCAAATAACCCTTTGGAGTTTAGACCTTAGACCACTTATTATATATATATATATATATATATATATATATATATATATATAGAGGTAGGATTCTTTGACACCAGTGTCAAATTTAAAATTTGACATCTCATCTGAGAGCCGTCAGATCAAAAAAGATCAATGACTCTGATTTGTAAGCATGTGACACCATTGATCTTTTTTGGTCTAACGACTCTTAGATGAGATGTCAAATTTTAAATTTGACACTGGTGTCAAAGGATCCTAACTCATATATATATGTATATATATATATATAAAAGGGAAATAATTATCTCATGTTGCATGAGATAATTATCTCATACAACAGAGACAAAATAGTAAAATTCACTATTTTTTTTTTTTTTAAAGTAGTGCACTCTATAATTTTATCTTTGCTACATCAGATAATTATCTCATGTAACATGAGATTAATAGATGCTTATATATAATGTGAAAATGTTACCTAATACTAACATGCAAACTCTAATTGCCTGCAAATTTTATATAGGTTATAGCACTCTTATTAACTTTTGTCAAATTTTAGAATTTCAAGCGTCATTAAAAATGAATCTGTATTAATTATCAGCCTAACTTTGTAGGCCTTACATGGACCAACATGATAAGATCGCGAACGTGTTAACCACGTTAATTTTTTTTTTTAACTTTTTCCTCAATCTGCTTCATTATCAAACAAATAAAAATAAAAATAAAAAACTTTCGAGAGCGTGAATTGGATTAGTCAAGTTCCGAAAATCTATCCAAAAAATTTGTTTTCTTATGCAGTTCTGAAAATCGTAATTTCTGATAAAGTGAAGAAACATAAACTCAGAACCAGATTAATAGGACTTATTAAAGCTGTAGAGACCGATTGATATATATAAAAAAAATTATTCATTTTTTGGTTTCTTATGTTTTTCTAATATCCTTAAATTAATTATTTTCAAACATAACTGCTCCATTCAGATTTATATTTTATTGTTTATTCTCTGTCAATTTTTTTTTTCCTGTTTTTAAATTTAACTCTCTTTTTTTGTAGTGAAAGTGTCTTAAATTTCAAATGGAATTAGCTATCATATTTAAATTAATTATAAAATAATCCACACTTAAATTAGAGTACACTCTTTTGATAGTAATATAATCTCTCTTATCTTACTTGTTTTGGGGGGTGGAAAAAAGGCAATACGTTATTCCTAATTTTTCTTATATTAAATTTTAAATTTAAATTCTTTTAAATTAAATATGCATATAGTCTTTATAATTTTTTTAAAAAAAATATTTTAAATATATTTTCAACATTATATTTGAATTATTATTAATTATTTACACTTTTCTTATGATTTCAAATATTTTACTTTTACATATATATTTATTTTATATTTAAATTTAAATTTTTATCTAACTTTAAAAATACTCATGTAATACACGAGATAATTGCTAATTTTATTTTATTTTGGTCTTTTTCATTCAAGAAAAGAGCTGGTAATAACCTATTGGGAGTTCTTAACTAAAGTAGTGCTTTGTAGAGCCAACCAAATTCTAAATTGATTATGAATGGCTAAGGGTGGATGTAGAAGCAAACAATTCTTCTTCTTCTTTTCCCAATGAGTGGAGGGAAAATGTTTTAATTGAACTAATTAGTTTAAAATCAATTTGTACTAATCTTATTCACTACCAACCATAAAAAAGTGTCATGCTACGTAAATTTTTCTTTTAGTATTGGTTTTAAAAAATGTTCTCATTATGTAATAAATTAATAATCTTGTTCCAGTGTTTGGTCAATATTTTCCTCCTTGAAATATTGATGAGCAACAAAAACATGCGAAAGGATGAATTTTCTGAGGAGGGAAAGAAGAATAACGGAGCTTTGATTTTCCTATAAACCTTGTTTTCATTCGGCGTAGCCGCCAGAGATGGTGTTTTGGTCCAAGTATTTCATGAATTCCACTGTAACAAGTGAACATTTGAATTGGGCTATGACCTTAAATATTCTCTTGTGGGTTGGTCCGAGAACTTTATGGATATGAACTTTTGAAATTAGGCCTTCCCCAGTTAAAGAAATAGGGTCTTGATTTGACACCTACGCCAATTACATTATATTTAATAGTTCGTATTTTGTTTAAAATTTTAATGAGATTTATATTTGTCATTTTAAAAGATATAAAATTATATTATTTTAGTCAAAATTATTATATTTAATAGAGAGATAAACATAAATCATGGTAAGAGAAAGTGGGTTTTTTTATATTTAAATACTAAATAAAAAATATTAATTTTAACTAAAATGATTGTCCTTTCAAAGAAAAAATATTTTTTTAAATTTTAATTTAATATTTTCATATTTTAAATGTTTTGCTATCTGTTGTAGTTTAATTGGCTTAATAATACACTGGGAATGTATAGAATATTTGCTTAAAAACAAGTTTAATTATTTCGAGGTTATGACAAAATGAAAATAATTTTGTTTCTAAAAACCAAATGTTTTAAACCATTTAAAACTATGAATTGGTAAAAGGGAAAGGGAAATTTATTTATGAGAGTTTTTTATATTTTAGTTGAAACTAATCTTGAGAGATATAAAAAATTAAAAATAATACTTCTTGCAGTACTAAAATAACACAATTATTCCCATGTGCCAAAAGTGAGCAATTTTTATTTTTTTTGACACAATCAACTTCCAAAGTCTTCATGTTCCAGGTATGATCCAGATTTTGTTACTAGACTCAGGCTGAAGACAGTATTCCCACCTGGAGAAGGACCCTGTCGGTTAGGGCAATAGCTCGTTTACTCGGGTCATGGATAATTGGATATGCACCTACGATCCCCCCCTCCCAAAAAACAAATCATGGAACACCCAGCATCTGAGTTTGAAAATATCGCTCTGAGACCATGACCCGATAATAATTGCCCCTCGGGGCCTGTATAAATACAAGGGGAAGTGACCATTTTGTCACGTTTGAACAAAAAAATTATCAGACTGTGACGTCAACAATAAATTTTGCCAAAATGTCACGCGGCATAATTCGCTACACAGTGTAGCGAAATATGCCACGTCAGAACCAAAAATGACACATGTCAAATTTTGCAAAATTCGCTACACTATGTAGCGAATTTTGCAAAATTTGACATGTGTCATTTTTGGTTCTGACGTGGCATATTTTGCTACACTGTGTAGCGAATTACTTGCATGCACAATTCGCTACACTGTGTAGCGAATTATACCGCGTGACATTTTGGCAAAATTTACTGTTGACGTGACAGGTAATTTTTTTGTCCAAACGTAGCACTTTGGTCACTGTTCCTAAATACAAGTGTGGTAGGGAACACAATTCATACACACAATATTTTATAGCTTATCTAAGCCTTAGAACTCTCACCATTGCCAGATATAACACACCTTAATATCATACGAGCATCCTTGCTGAACCTTAGTGTTCACCTTGGAACACTTACAATTATAACTAAAAATACTCAATCAATTTATTTTCATAAAATGTAGGAAATAATAAATTTCCAAGAATACAATCACAAATTTTATTATATTTTATACACAATCACAATTTGATCTCCCAATTAAAAACACGAATCAATTTACCAAAAAAAAAAAAACACGAATCATATATATATCGATATACATTATATCGTATTTGTACATTAACATATGCCTTTATGGTGACAAACATTTATTCATATACGATGAGTAATTTTAAATAAAAAAAATGGATTGGGTGGAAATTGGGTGCACTGGGTTGCACCACGTGCACAACAGGGTTGGGCACTCTATGGCTTGCCAGAATGCTAAATATGCAATAGTAATTATTTTGTCACATTTTTACAAAAATCCTCTAGCGAATTATGAGAAAAAATGACAGACACAATATCAAATGTATTTGGTATTTAAGAAATAAAATATAATATGAAATATGAAAGTACCAAAAGCATTTGGCATAAAGTAATTGAACATGATATTGAAGAACAAAAGCAATTTAATGAAAAAAAGAACTTGCGAGAGAGGCTGACACGTATCATATTTTTTTGTTCAAATTACCTAGTTTGCTAATATTAGTAGCGAATGAGATATCCATATCAACAAATAAAAAATTGAAAAAATTTACTATTTACATGATAATTGAGTAAATTTTTTGTTAAAATGTGGTAAATGAATCACTGCTCGGCTACATATGGCATATTCTGGGAGTCTAAAAACGAAAAAGGAAAAAAAAAATTGAGGGCAGGTGTCGAGGTTTTGACCGCCAAAGAAAATTAACGTCCCTAAATTCAAAGTGAAATGTATTCGTTGAAAAGAATACAAATAATTAAAGTAAACAGCCGTCAACGTAATAATTATATATAAAGGAAATCTTTAATATTTTTTACGTTGTTGCAAATGAGAAAAAGTTAGGATGCAGATATGAATGTGGATCCTATTATAAATGTGCTTGCTGTAAAAAAATTTATCCAGTACCATTGTAGAAGTGACGAACTCATAAAATAAATTAGTTTATAGTTTGAGATCCAATTATAGAATAAAGATCCTAGGACCAAATAATAATAAGATTTGATGTTTCTTATATTATAAAAAATAATAAAATTATCTCTTATATACACATAAAAATATGTACATTATATGAAAAGAAAAGAAAAATAAAGACACAAACATGAGAGACTTAAATGCTTCTTATTATAAGAATAATAATAAATCTTTTATCGGATAACATCATCGTGGTGGTGGTGTTTTGTCCACAAACTACATCCACAGACCGAACAAGTCTTTGTAGTCTAAAAATGATTTACAAGACAGACTCCTGAAAAGGATATGTGCTAGGGATTTTGGCAGTTGTACATCACGTTAATTTGTAACATTAATCTTGCAAATGTATAATTTTTTTTTTTGCAGTTTTAACAAACCAAAAATACAAGTAAATTGCAAACCATCTTCTTTTCTACTTTTTCTAGTATCATTATTCATTACAATAACAGTGTGCAATTTTTATAGCTTTACGTAAATTTTGCAGCAAAGTAAGAAAACAGAGGTTCGCAAATTCCTCGGTTCTTTGGTTTTCCACAGAACGATTTTCCTTCTCTAATTTCAAAATGTTATTATCTATTTTTTTTCCTTAAAATCCTTTTTCCTTCCTCTTATTCTAGCTCAGAACAAGAATCTCCGACTGTTGATTATCAAAAATCATTAAATCTTTCCCAAATAGTTAAAAATAACGGCAAAGAGCAATTAGCGATTATGAATTCAATGTATGCAAAATAAAAGATATTAAGTTTTTCTAATTTTCGATATAAATTCGAAACTCTCCAAACAAACCTTAAAACAAAAAAACAAATAGAAGAAACTCAAAAATAAGGAGATGATAAATTTTCAATATATAATATAGGCCGCTAAGTGTAGAAGAGAAGGCTACAATCCAAATGCGGCGCTTCACATTAACAGAACGGCGGCGCCAAGCCCGACGGCTACGTATCCGGCGACAGCAAATCCATTTGAGACGGCACCATTCTCCGACGGTCCAGGAGCCTCAGACGGAGGGGAAGAGATCGACGACGGAGAGACCGAAGACGAAGGGGAGGATGCCGACGATGATGCAGGAGACGGCGGAGATCTCAGTCCGGAGGCTGGAGATGGAGTGACGGCGGGTGATGTCTTCGATGAAGACGGCGACGGAGCCTTTGATGGCGAAGGAGATACCGATTTTGGTGGAGCAGCAGAAGACTTCGGTGACGGCGCCGGAGATTGTGCGACGGCAGAGAACACGCACATTGCCACGAGCATGAGAAACAGAGTGTAAGAGCGAGCCATTCTCACTTCTCAGAGGTAGAAAGAGAAAAAGCAAAGAAGGAACAGTGAAATAACTTCGATAGGAAGAAGATGAGTGTATATGGGAAGAACAACAGAGACTACTGACAATTTATAGAAAGAGAGGAAGCGGTGCACCGTTGGATGGGAGGATCAGAGGGTGGAGATCGCTGTGATTACTTTGATGCCATGATTGGGGGCAATGATGAGGCGAGTCAGTGAAATGCGGTTTGGGTTGAATCATTACCATACACGTGGAACGCTGATTTGAGCAAAGAGGGATCGTAACCGTTGGTGAAATGATCGCCGGAATTGTAACGGTCAAGAAATAGGAAAGTGTGAAATTTGTGGGGATCCACAACCATAAGGGAACGATGTGGAGCTCGAGTCTTGAGTGGGACCATTATTTTGTATTGTATCTTTATGTAGAAAATGATAGTTGATTGACGCTGCTTCTGTTGGGGTACAATTCTTTTTTAATTCGAGATTTTTTCTATTTTATAATGGTAAATTATTTTTACTATACTTCCCTCCTTATTCCTATTCTTTCTTTCTTTCTTTTTTGAAAATCAAAAAATGTGGAGTAGGGACCATGGTATTATTTTTCCTTTTTGAGATTGCAGAAAAAAGATAGTTGATTGTCACTATACTTACGGTACCGATATATAATGGTAACCTACTAAGCCGCGTTTTTGTTACCCTTGAAAAGATTAAAGAAGCAATTGGAGTGTCAAAGGCTCAACGGACAACTTTATCTGTTTTACCATTCTTCTTTTTGGGTGTAATTACTAGCTATGATTTTGGGCAATACAAAATGGAAGATAGAAATCGGCAGTTTGAGGAAGATTTGATTCATTTCACTATTGTCACTGTCTTCGTAAAAAGATCTTGTCCATCCCTTGGGACAGGCAATTACAGTTTGAATGTTTTGCTTATTAATTCATGGTTCTCTCTATTTTATAATGGTACGTTATTTTTCTTATACTTCCTCATTTTCCTATTATTCCTTTTAAAAAAAATATCTCCATATTTTTTGAATGTGAAATTATTTATCTTTTCGTATAAAATAACATGGTTAGATTAACTGATTAAGTGCCTGTTTCGCCTAACTTATTTTCATTTCTCTTTATTTTTTATTGATAAAGAAGTCTGGACCAAACAATATTTAAAAGAAGTTTTTTTTTTTAAAAAAAGAAATCTTTAAAAATTGGGTATAGTAGTCTTCTCATTTGTATTACATATATACTTTACTTTTTCTTATTTATTTTTAATTTATTAACTAATAAAAATTAAGTATATTTTCATTAGCAAATAGTTATTTTTTTATTTAATTTAATAACAAGACTAAGTCAAGATTTTTCTTAGTCAATAACAATTCCTTATCGGACTTTACTGTTAAACGAATTGCTGTAAATTTTATATTTAAAATGTTGTTGTTCATGTATATTTAGTGAATTCATGTCTTCTTAATTCTTAACGTAACTTTGCCCAGGTGGTGGAAGAGTAGAACACACTCCATTGATGTGTTGGAATCTTTTTGACCGGGGAATGCTCGTACGTTTTTGTGCCTGGTCTTTTCACTTTTCTTTACCTGATCACTTCACTTTAGACGGAATAGTGATCAAAATATTACTCATCATCAAGTTTTTTATCTAAATGTCACGTGAACAGTGTTATTTTTCAATTTGTCACGGGGCAAGTTTTCTACCCGATGTAGCGAACTCGGTTTACTGACGTGTCACGTTTCTAGTGAACACCAAATCCGCTACACGGGATAGCGAACTTGATTAAAATCAAGTTCGCTACCGAACTTGGTTTTAACCAAGATCACTATCCAGTGTAGCGAACTCCATATTTAAAAAAAAAAAAAAAAAACTTGGTACTTGTTATCCACTAACATGCCCCGTAGATTGAGAAATAACACTGTTCGCGTGACATTTAGGTAAAAAACTTGGTGAACAGTGACATTTTGATCGGTGTTCCACTTAGACAGGTGAATTTTGGGAATTTTTTACTATGTTCCAGGACCGCTGCGGTCCTTTCGTTTAAAAATTAACACTTGTATTAAATTTTTTTCTCTCACTCCTCTTTTATCAATTTTTTCTCTTTTTCTCTAACCTCAGTCCCATATAATGTTTGTAAGTCCGGGACCACAATAATTTCACTCTCAACTTAGATGCGACCCAACGTTAATGATGCATATAATTATCGTACAATGAAAGTGAAGGTGAAGCGAAATTCACACCCGAAGGAAAAAATAAAGTAAAAATTAAAAGATATATAACCTGTCCAAAGATATAATTTGTCTCATTAAAATGAAAGTCCTGACGAAGAGAAGAAACAAAAATAAGTAAATCTCAAAATTCACCGATAAAAGATACATTGATTTATAAAAAATTAAAAAGTCAACAAATGGTTCTTGAGTAATCATAATATTGGTTACGTCACTCCTTTTCAAAACAATATCTATAATATTTATGATTGTTTACAAATTATGGCGGTATTGTAATTTCTTAAAATCAATAGGTTCACTCGAGTTCACTTAACGCTTGGGATTAGTGTCAATTTTCGTTTAGCATAAAGATAATAGAAATACCTTGCTTTTGCAATTGCGAAGAGGAGCATTATTAAGACACATTGTAGTCTTCTTTACTGGTAGGTTTACTACAGCTTCTATTTGAATAAGTAGACACTTGACGTAGATAACGGAATAACACCTACTCGGGGTTGGAACATGAGTTTGCGTAATTAGTTTCCAATGTATTTTTTTTTTTTTTTTTGGTAAGCAGTTTCCAATGTATTAATTAAACAAACAAAAGACATATATATTGGTTAATAATTTTTATATGTAAGCCAAACATATTGGAACGGTATTCCCTACACAATTGTTCCAATGTAATAATAAAACAAACATAAGACTAATATTGTTTAATAATTTTGATATGTGAGCGAAACATTTTGGAACGGTATTCCCTACACAGGCTACACAGGTCGGAACAAAACATGCTGACCAATTTTGTATATTATATTAGGAAGCAACCTGCATTTATACTTCCCAAGTTGCATCCCACAATCAATTATTCATTTTTAGTTTTGTTAAATAAGAGACAAAATGAATATTTTTATTAATTTTAATTTGAAAAATAGATCAAGATAAATATTTATTATGAGCTGTAAGATCACATTGAATTATTTTGATCATTTTTGGTCAAATTGAACATATAGGAGAGAATTGGTGGCCGTATCAAAAAACTCAAACAGTGCCGTGCCGCGTATTATATTTATGGGAAATACTTTTATCCTTTAAAAGAAGACAAGAGTTCTCTCCAACTGAAAATGATCAAAATGATGTACCTGTAGGATGTAAAATGATCAAAATGATAAAAAAGAAGACAAAAAAAAAAGTTGGACCAGCAATTAAAAAAAAGTAAAAACAAAAAAGTAAAAGCTTGACATAGAAGTCGATGTACCTGTAGGAATAAAATGTTGTCTTATGTGAAAGGAGAAAAGTATTTCCCTATATTTATAGGGGGTTCAATTCTTATGTGAATTCTCATGTTGACTCAACTAGCGGTGGATTTCACATTTATTAAAAAAAAAGAAAAAAAAAAACTTTGGATGCAAATCGAAGAATCACTATTCATATGAGAAAATGTTTTCCATTCATACATTGTACTATAATAATAATTGGAGAGAAGGATAATTGAATCAATATTATATAGAAAGATATAAAGCTGAATCATTCATAACAAATAAATAAAATATACAGAATATAATAATCAAATCGATGAATCGTCCAAAAGAAAAAAAGGAAAAAAAATAAATAACAAGAATTTAAAACTCATGTAGCCCATGAAAATAAAATGAAAAATGAAAAATAAAACAAAGATAACTCCATAGAAATCCGTCTAGATGAGCAAAGACGCAGCGAAAATAACGACGGCAGCAGATCCAGTGACGGTAAATCTGTTCAAAAAGGCACCGCTGGAAGGACCTTGTGCTTCAGATGGTGGAGAAGAGATGGACGATGGAGAGTTGGCAGGAGCAGCAGAAGGTTGATTGGGTGAAACCGATGGTGAGTTAGTTGATGGAGAGACCGCCGGAGACGGAGACACCGCATGATGTGTCTTAGCCTTCCTCGGTGGAGTGGCCACCGGCGAGGAAGCTGGAGATTGAGCCATTGTGTAGCTCAAGAGCAATGCAGCCATAAGCACAAAAACAAAAGCGGAGCGAGCCATTGTTATATTATAGAAAGAAAGAGAGAAAAAAAAGTTGAAGCAAATGAGAAAGAAAGTATGAGTAAGAGAATCAGATAGACAGAAAATTGTGTGTGAGAAGAAATAATGCAGGTAAGAGGGTATTTATAGAAGAGTAACCGCGTGAAGAACGAAGACGTGGTTCATGGGCCGGCCGAAATTGGGCCCAGTCGCCGTTGATATGTTCACGCGGTTAGCTGTCACAGCTGTCTTAAAATATGGCACGTACGCGTGGTGATGAAAATAAAAGGTTACCGTTGGATGTGGGAAAAGCGGTAACGGTCGAAAACGGAAAGAAATAACTTGTAAATAAAAATATTGAATTTGTTGCGGCGGGGACTGGGTGAGGGAGGGGACCAACCACGTGTTTGTTGTAGTCTTTAATTTCTTATTCTTCTTTTTCTTCTACAGATGTACTGGAACTAGCCGTTGAACAGAGTCAGGAACAAAAAGTTAAAAATATAAAATAAAAAAATTCAGAGTTGTTCGCCTACCGAGTTCTTTTTCTTTTTCCACCTTCATCTGATCATGTTATGTGCTGAATCGTAACGTTGATTCGCTGTATGTCATTATTATCTTGAGTCTCACGATTCTTATTTGATAGAGTCATGATGAATAATTCAATTAGTTAGACTGCTCTTAAAAAAAGAAGAAGAAAGTTTTTAAAAATAAAAGAGAGATGATTATAAATTTAACCATCAATAAAGCTAAAAAAAAGTCCTAAATTTAAATCTCTTGCATGATTTGCATCATTAATTGATTGTTATACTCCGCAATTTGTTTTGAACTCAAGGAATTCTCAATCTCAAAAAATAATTTACTTATTTACAAAAACAATAAAAAAATTACTTGGTAACATGATGAACATTATATATATAACTTAATGAAATTTAAATTATTTGATCAACGAGTACAGGCAGATGCGTTTTTTAAGGAAAAGACTTTCTCCAAATTAATTTATCTTTCTCAAAATAAATTTATCCCTAAAGTGATAAAGTAAAAATAAATAATAATTTTACATACTCACTTCAGAGACAATTCTATTTTAAAAGATTTGTTAAAACCTCCAACCATCGTTTACTTTAAAAAAATTCCTTTTTATTTAAATAATTAATATTATGTTTGATATTATATGGTTTAGTACTTCTTCTTTTTTGGTGAATTGAAGGGGAACAAATCAAACCTATCCGATGGATCTTACGGACAGAAGAGAAATTAGCAAAAACCAAAACAAAAACCAAATGCCAAAAGAGGGTAGAGAAACACTCATAAGTTGTCATTTATGGGGTGGTCCGCACAACCATTCATCTCTATAAAAGAATGAGTCGTGAATATCTCGATCTTTTTTTATCCATGCTCGTACTCGAGCCACTAGACATGTCTCATGAGATGCATCACTTTTCTTAGTGATTACAAAGCTTGAATCACTTTCTACGATGATAAGACCCCAACCTTCGGCCCAAGCAAGCTTTAGGCCTTTAAGAACATCACACAATTCCGCTATAAAATTTGTCCACTGACTTATATTATAAGCGAAATCCTACAACATCGGCCAACAACATCCCTAATTATCCCAACACAAGTAGACCCGCCATAGCTTCCCCTAGAAGCACCATTAATGTTAATTTACACTCATCTTTCTTCCAGAGGTTTCCAACTGATAAGGACATAACCGAGAGCTCTCTTAAACATATCGATATTCTTGTTTGCATGGACCTGCTTAAATTTCAAAGCTTTTAACATGACGGTATGGGATTTATACTCCTACTGGTTTTCCACAGCCCTATGAACATTAGTATAATGACCCAAATTATTAATTCTGAAAAATGGGCATTAGAGTATAATTAGAGGGCTACTAATTAAATGAAAATATAAAATTTATGGTTAAGTCTTAATTAAGGGTAAAATCATAATTAAGCAAAAATTGCCCCAGATTTAGAATTAATTTTCACTCCACATAAACCTATTAGCCCAAGAATCATAAGTCATGCGGATTTAGTGGGTTTTTTTTGTTTTGTTTGGAGAATGTGGATTTAGTGATTAAATGAGTGGGGTGTGGGAGAAAAGTGCAAGAGGGGTAAAATAATGATTAAGTGCAAGAGGGGTAAAATATTTCAAAGATTTTTTTTATATATATAAAAAAAATCTTTAAAAATTGTGTATAGTAAGTAGTCTCTTCCCAATTGTATTACATACTTTACTTTTCTTGTTTACTTTTAATTTCTTAACTGATAAATTAATTAATGATATTCGTTAGCAAATAGTTACTTTTTTATTTAATTTAATAATAAGACTAGGTCAATATTTTTCTTAATCAGTAACAATTCCTTATCGGACTTTATTGTTAAACGAGTTGCTGTAAATTTTATCATTAAACTTTTGTTGGTCATGTATAATTTTGTTCTTCGAATAACGTAACTTTGCCCAAGTGGTAGGAGAGTAGAACACACTCCGTTATGTTGGAATCTTTAATTATGACCAGGGAAGGGAATGGTGGTGTTATTATGCTCATTTACACCCAAGTCATATTCTTACTATTTGTCTGTCATTAATATCTGATTTCTACCTCTTGGAATAATATCTTCTAGCCTGATCTTTACCTCAGCTAGGAATATAATCCATATAATAACATTACCCTCGAGGATACATAGCTCACACAACTGAACGGTACAGGTTGTAACGTACTTTTCTTTACCTGGTCTTTCACTTTACTTTAGACGCGACCAAACACGTTCCTAATAATTGCAGGTAAGGATAATTGAATCAATATTATATAGAAAGATACAAAGCCAAATCATTCATAATGAATAAGTAAAATGTATATACAGAATACAATAATCCAATCGATGAATCGTCCATACATGTCACTAGAGCAAAAAATGAAAAACAAATATAACGAAGGACAAGAATTTAAAACTCATGATGTAGCCCATGAAAAAAAAATAAAAAATGAAAAGAAAAAAAAAAGATAACTCCATAGAAATCAGTCTAGATGAGCAAAGACGCAGCGAAAATCACGACGGCAGCAGATCCAGTGACGGTGAATCTGTTCAAAAAGGCACCGCTGGAAGGTCCTTGTGCTTCAGATGGTGGAGCAGAGATGGACGATGGAGAGTTGGCAGGAGCAGCAGAAGGTTGATTGGGTGAAACCGATGGTGAGTTAGTTGATGGAGAGACCGCCGGAGACGGAGACACCGCATGATGTGACTTAGCCTTCCTCGGTGGAGTGGCCACCGGCGAGGAAGCTGGAGATTGAGCCATTGTGTAGCTCAAGAGCAAAGCAGCCATAAGCATAAAAACAAAAGCGGAGCGAGCCATTATAAAGAGAGAGAAAGTGAGAGCTAAACAAAGTTGAAGCAAAAGAGAAAGTATGAGCGAGAGAATGAGAGAGAAAGAGAGTGTGTGTGAGAAGAGACAGCGAGGGTGAGAGGGTATTTATAGAAGGGTAGCCGCGTGAAGAGTGAAGACTTGATTCATGCGCCTGTCGATATTGGGCCCAGTCGCCGTTGATACAGTCTCGCGATTCTTATTTCATATATTCGTGATGATTATAATTCAATTAGCTGGTGACAGATCTTAAAAAAAAATAAAAATAATAATATTTAAAATCAAAAGATAGCTGATTGTAAATTAAATTCATATCAATTAAGATTAATTCACCAAAAATAATTATTATAAATTAATCAACAATAATGTACCTAAAATAAAGAATAATACAAATAATTATTGGTTCAAGTATAAAGGAGTTTGTTCTCCCTTAACTACGATAATTAGGGGTGTTCATAGAGGTATAAATGGGTTAAGTTGGGCTATAGAGGTCTATGGCCTAGCCTATATCAGACCAGACTCAGCCTATTAAATATAGTCAAATAGAGCAAAACTTAGTCTTTTAAAAAAGACTATTTAGAAAACAGGTCAAAGACTTTCTTTTATATGTTGAGCCTATAAGACTCCAAGTCAGTCTATTTCATATTATTTATTTTTAAAAAAATAAATAAAATTATTATTTTAATAATTTAGAATAATAAAGTAATATATTTTAATTATATTTTTAAATATTGAGTGTTTAATAGGTTTAAACATATTAAAAATCCTAGGCCAAGATTTTTATTTTTAAATATAGGTTAGGCCAAACTAATAATTTGAGCCTATATAAGGCTAACAGGTCATACTAGACCTAAAATATTTTACACAGGCCTAAGCTATTCTAGCTGATAAGGACATAACTGAGAGATCTCTTAGGCACGACGATATTCCTGTTGGCATAGGCTTGCTTAAATTCCAAAGCTTTTAGCATGACGGTATGGGGTTTGTACTGCTTTCATTTTGAAAAATTAGCATAGGTTTTTTGCTCATTGACCTAAAATATCACTAAAGAGAATAAGACATCTAGTATAACTTGCAACTAGTCCTCTTTGGCCTCCATAAACAATATCAGGTCATCTGCAAATAAGAGATGGGAGATTTTAGGGCCATCATTCCTAGCTCAAATAGGAATCCAAAGTCTACTCATTGTTGTTTCTATAATATAACATAGTTTTTCCATAGCCATGACGAATAGATACAGAGCCATAAGGTATCCTTGCCTCGCACCCTACTCAGCTAGAATTCCTTTGTGAGTCCTCCATTCAAGAGAATATTAGTCCTATACGAGGTAATCACTAACATCATCAACTTGACAAGATTCCCATGGAACCTCTTCACTTTACGGATAAATTCCCAATTAAGTCAATCATATACATTCTTCAATTTCACCTTGACTGCCATGAAGATGTCTTCCCTCTTATGTTCCGCGTTGAGTGAACAAACTCTTGAACAACTATTATATTGTCTTATATATGTCGTTGTAGAATAAAACTGGCTTGTGAATGAGATGTCACTTTTGTGATGATAGGTTTAGGGTGTGCACGACAACCTTCCCGGAATCAATTTTGTTTTAATTTTTGTTCCCGGGAACAAAAATGAATAGAAAATTCGTTTGATAAAACTGGTTTATTTTTTTGTTCCCGGGACAAAC